GTGGCGCGCAGCTCCTAGCCGGTCCAGGTGGAAGTGGAGCATCACCCCCCCATGAGAAACAGCATTGTCCCTGTGAAAAAAGAAACTCACAACACAGACAGAAAAGACAAAATTAGAAATAAATCAAAAACACTCTCAGACAGACATTTCCTGTGTGTGAAACTGATAATGATTAATTAATCATTCAATTTTAGTTTCTAAGAAACAACAAAACTCAAACACATCAGTTCTCCATCTTGTCCTCATTTATAAATAAAACCTCTGTTCTCTGAACAAAGCCAGGAGGAAACCATACGTCATATTCTGTATACAAACTGCACTCATGTCTGCTTCTATTAGCATTAGCTCATTTAGCAATGTAATACAGTCGACTGGCTCCCAGGAACCTGCAGTTCGCAGTTGTTCCATTTATGCAATTAAGGAAGTAACTTAGTCCTGTTTGGGAGAACTGATGACATCATCACCTCACACACGGTCTCACATGCACCCCCAAGCCGGCTACCTCACGCCCTTCTGTTCCTCCAGGTGAGAACCAGCGAGCACGAGCAAACCCGGGTCGGGGTGCTGAAACAGATCCCCACCAGCCACTCAGATTAATCTCGGCGGGAGATAAAAACCTGGAAATGGCTGAGACAACCTGAAACAGCATCGAAGATATGGCAATATGGAATGTTATGAGATAACCCGATGTACGAAACGCGTGCAGCGCAACGCAGGAAGGAGGATAGACCCCCAACCTCACTAGAGTGCTTTTAGACTGTTTGGCAACAACATATGGGCAAAATAGGGTCAGATCTGAAATACCCCACATGTGTAAACTAAAAAGATCCATACATGAAACTGCAAATACGCGCTAGTGTTTCTTGCAGACTTACGGTCTTTAGTTTTAGATTAAAGAATATGCAAACAGTACCCGTTATCAACACGTTTAAGCAAAAAGAAATAAAATTAACAGGTGCACCTTTAATAAAAAATCAGAAATACCAACATGTTCAAAGTCGTGGTCGAAATATGAGATTTGAGTGGCAGTATGCTGTTTAAGTTTGTTGAAGCAGATTTCTTTTAAGTGTTGTTATTAGCTGGCATGAGAAACTGCACAATTACAGACTAGATATTTCCCAGAACGTTACACAACAAGCCCTTAGAATGCGAACAGTATCCCTCTAAAACTGTTCAGTTGTGCTTTAAAATAATTTAAAAAAGCCAGTTGACCATTCTGTCAACTCAGCAAGGTCAGTGGGAAACACAAAGATAAMCAAATAATATCTAAGAATGATTATTGTTGTCAGCAAATCTTGTTCTGACTAATCATTCTATCTGCAGATGAACGTAAGATGTGACGTAAACCACTATCTGTAGATTAACAG